AGGCTTCTATCTGGTCAGTAGAGTCTCTGATACCTTATGTACCTTCCACTGACTGGATGACAGATAATGGTCTTCTAACTCCTCAGAAACCTTTGAGCCCACTGAATGAGCACAGTGATGTTATCTCAAAGCCAAATTATGTTCCTGAAGGGAAGAATCTACAACCTGGTGCATCAGTTAAATATCATGGTCGTCCATGTCAACTAGAGGCCTCTATCTGGTCAGTAGAATCTTTGATGCCTTATGTGCCTTCCAGTGAGTGGATGGTTGAGAATGGGTTTTTAACTCCTCAGAAGCCGCTGAGCCCACAGATTAAATCTAGTGATCTTCTATCAAACCAGAATCAGTCTTCCACTGGTATTCCAGCAGAGAAGAATCTACAAACTGGTGCATCAACTAAACATGACTCCTTTAACTCCCTTGAGTCCCGCTCCCCATACCGTCCCTCAACAAGCTGGCTGGCTGACTTTGGTAATGTATACTACTACAGTAAGTTACCTGTTGTACGGCAACATCCTGACCTTCCAGAGAAGCAGCAACCAAAGATGTCCCTTGCCATTAGTCTTGAACCACCTCCTCTCAGAAATGGGAAAAACACAAAGAACCAAAGACCAGCAATTGGCATCTCAGATCAGAAGCACTGTTCACTTCATACTTGCAAGTGCAAAGCAAAAAGCAGTTTGAGGTTAGCTGGATCTTCCGTGAAGTGTGATTGGGTTTCTCATTCCACACTGCAGAATAAACTTCGCTTCTGCACATCATGTAGATATGATGTGAAAGGAAAGGATCATAGGAAGCCGCCTTTTTCAGACGGTTTTAGGTGCAAAAGAGAAGAGACTACTGAATTGAATAACTTTTACATGAAGAGTGCTACTGAGGGCTTCCATGGTACCCCAAAGATGACTTCAGGAAGTCATTTGGCAAAATGCTGTGCTGCTTCTCTGGGTAAACCGAGTGAAAAGACTGGACTGTGTGAAGATTGCCAATGCCTTAATCCCAGCCCTGCTCAAGATAAATGTGGTGACCTTGGATGGCGAATTTGGGAAAAGAGTGAGGAAGACTGGATTAACAACCCAAATCAGAGAATGTTACAGAGACTGCAGAAAGGTAGGGCTTCCAATATACCATTGCCAAAATTCTCGAAATTGTGTATGTACTCTATATTGTTACATGTATCTATCTTCTTCTGGTAGACAATGCATGGAAAGCAAGTATGCAGGTGTCTAAAACTGAAAGAAGGATTCAGAAAAAAGAAAGGAAAGAGTACTCCCAAGGTAAGATAATACATTTTCTCAAAAGAATGCTTCATATTAGGCCAATTGTGATGCCTGATCGTTGACAAATTAACTTTTACAGGGATACAGCAAAAATAAATGAACTGTACTTGCATGTTATATTCTTAGCAGAACCTATTATGCCCAAACTGTGTGTGTGTACTGAATGCAAATTTAAAATACTATTTATCACTTTTTTTCTTTTTATTCATTTATCTCTTCAGAGATCACACAAGAGGAAGACACAATGTTTATTGCTACCGGTGGTCAGTGTGCACACCCCATGGAGAGCTAGAAGGTGCATTAACATCACAAACGTTCAAACCTTCCTACAATAAAATACCCACCTGTATGGTTTTTAAGCAGTGATTTAATAAAGTACTTATGAGTGTGAACATGCTGTTTGCTTTCACCGAAGCCTCCGAAGGTCCATTTGAAGTTCTCAATTATATTTTTAATAAATACTGCTGAAAACTATATGCATTTAAGACAGTGTGATGCAAACTTCTTGAGCACATTAGATGCGTCTAATGATAAGAGTGTTGTATCTTCTGCTTTAATGAGATCGAAATGAGATGTAAATTTTAGATTTCTAAACATTTATTTTTCAAATTGCACAACAAAAGGCTAGATCCCCACAGAGATCTGTGGCTGGTTGCATTAAAAGGCTTAAACTAGTCTTACAAGTCATCCAATTTGTTTCAAGACTGGTCATAATGTTAAGTCAGTTACATAAAAAAAAAAAAAAAGTAGATTGGTCTAATCTAGTATGTGGAAAAATAAGACTGGTTACTCCTTGGTTGACAGCTAGTCAAGGTAGTTCTGAAGTCAGTCTTAACATAGAGGCTGTTTATGCAGTTGTCCCTGATCTCACCATTAAGCCAGTCTAATGTTACATAAAGTGACTTAAATGACACTTTTTCCTGAGCCTTCAAAATGGTCTCTCAGTTTGGTATTTGAGTTGAATTACTGAAATAAATGAACTTTTCCATGACATTCTAATTTATTGAGATGCACCTGTATATGAATGTGGTCACCATTCACTTTCATATGGAAAACAGCAGACTGATAATTTTCTAGGTAATTTGTTAGGGGGATCTTTATGTCTTATAGTTGAGGAGGTATTGATATTAGTCATCCAGGCAACTTGCAGCCAACAGGGGAGTAATTATAATGAGGTGACAGAGATGCATGCCCAAACTGAGGGGACACTTGTCCCATCAGATTTTTGAGCTAACCTCTATAAAATATTTGTCTTTGAAAATTAATTTTCAGGATTATTGTGTGTAAAACAGGCGCTTATCTAAAACACTGTAGCAGATAATTGCAAATTATGCATTTATATTACTAAATTTGGTCAGTCATTAGACTGAAAACATTCATCAGATCTTTTGCGTTAAACTGAAATGGTGGGTATATGATGAGTTGTAAAACAATTGAGAAATTGTATTTAAGTACAAATGCCAAACATTTTACTTTATTGAAAGTCTTACTAGCCAAGAAATACTAGGACAAAGTAAAAAGTATCCACATTCAGATGTACTTTGTTAAAATTACACACTTTTTAGCTCTTTAAATTGATGTTTGAAAACAAGTAACAGTAGATTTTCTCTATTTTTGATGCATGAACTTTGGAAAGAAACCTGTCAAACTTGAAATTCATTGATCTACCACAATGTTTATTATAAAAACACATTACTAGTCCAAAGACTGTCTAAAAGGAATAGTTCACCAAAAATAAAGAAAGAAAAAAGGTCATTTTGTCATCTACTCACCTATGCCTTTTAAAGTCTGAATGACTTGGAATGATAACATAAATTATAATCTGTTCCTTACAGCCTCATATGGCTTCGGAATACTTGGAATATGATGTTTTTTTATGTTTCCCATCCACTGCCATGATGGTCGTAGGGAAAAGCGTGAGCATTCTTCAGAACTACTCCTTTGTGAAATCATGCAGGTGAAAATGACAGTGGGAAAACTGACATATTGACATTTTTTTGGTGAACTAAATTTATATTCTTCAGATTTAAGTCATGATGACATATGCACTTTTTATTTTTAAGTGTATATGAAATTGTATTTTTGTATTTTCCTTATACATGTAATTGAGTAAAAGTACAAGTAATATGGTTTTAGCAGGTCATGTAAAGAACAGATTCCCCAAAATAACACTTATTTAGCATAGTGAAGTATTATTATTCAAATAATTTACACCATGATGACAAGACTATTTTTCACACAATTGAAATCCATGGTGATTATTAAAAGCCATGAATCCCAAAATCTTACCATTAGATTGTTCCATCTTACAATCACTAGGATAATTATGCTTACAAAAGCATTAGGTGCATGATGACCCTCAAAGGATACTGGGACTAGACAAATCATAAATTAAGCAAACTGCTACTGAAAGAAAAAATAAATCAACCGAGCGGACATTTATGTGATTAAAAGATAAGTTCAACTATTGGTTTTGAAGCTGAAGGGAAAAGCTATAATGGCATTGGGAGGCTGTATGTGGCTAAGGACAGATACTGAGGTCCTGAGGCATACCTTGTGAATTAAAAAAAAAAAAATGTTTAAAGTGATAACGCAAGAATCTACCAACAACAAACAACCAGTTTATGCTGCAAAAATGCAAAGTGTGTGTTCAGACTTTGACACAGAAGTCCAAATTAATTCTATAACTGGCATGACAGCTAACTTGGCCACCATTTGCAAAAAGCATCAAATTCTAGCACTAGTTATATATACCTGACAGAATCGGCAATATATATGTTAATAATTAAAAATAAGATGATCATTAAAAAATGCATTTTTAAGTAGCACTGCCCTGAATAAGCCATTTCACAAACAGATGTTTACATATAGTCCACAAGACAAAATAATAAAATAAGAATAATAATAAAAGTAAATTTAAAGAGAGAGAGAGAGAGACCCCATTAAAAAATGTGCATACACTTAATTCTTAAAACTGTGTGTCAATACCTGGATGATCAACAACTGTTTTTCTGTTTTGTGATAGCTGTTCATAAATCCTTTGTTTGTCCTATATGCAGCTAAACTACACATTGTTCTTCAGAAAATCCATATTTTCACACAGAGGACAACTAAAGTATTAAAAAAAAAAGTAGAATATTCATACCAAAATTATTTGGTATTGCCCTTCAGAAGCTACAGAAGATATTTACGTTTTTCTAAGAAAGACAAAATAATTCTAATTTAGACTGATCATCCTGTTCAAAAAGTTTACACCCCCTGGCTCTTAATCTAGTAATCATTGCAGCTTTGGCAGAAGTGCGCACAGTGTCACACCCAACAAAACAATATTTATACATTTCTAAAAACGAATGTAAGAGCCCTTCTGTGTCCTTTATGTATTCCTTAACATATTTTAAAGCTTTTCCCTCCATATGTTTACAAATGACCAGTTAATAAAATATGAATACATAATATTTTGTTGTTTCATGTTGAGATGCTTAATGGTTATAATACTAAAAGAGATTGAATGAACATACATTTTGAAATTGTGAGAAGAGTAAGCATAAAAAATGGCTTCTGCCAACTCCTTTTAGATCACTGTAGTCTTAAATGTAATTTTTTTTTTTTTTATTTTACTTTATCTTTTGTAAATAAATGAGGCTAATAGATTGCCTTTTTGAAATTTTCAATGTTAACTTTCTTAACACTGCAATGTTATTAGCAGAATAAATAATACAGTGACCAAACAAAAATATTTAATAAATAATAGAACCATTCATAGAAATTAACAACTTTGACATTGTCTTTAATGGAAGAGCCTGTGACTACACTCACAGTAGGGTTGTGTACTCTCAGCATGCCTGTGTTCAACTCGCACTTTGCGAGCTGCGAGACAGGACTTCATTTGCATTGCAGGTATTTATCCAGAGCACATCTCAAAAGTGCTGTAGCTTTAGGAGTGAAATTGAGGATTTAGTCGATCTGTCAGAAAATGGGATGGCCATGGTTAAGAGTACTGCTCCATAAAATGCTGGTGAAACTCCTTAATCTTTGCCAACACTATCTTCAGTTTCTCTTTTGGAGGAAGGATGGTCATTCTGTAGGAGAAGAATGCGAAAAACAGGTACAGTTAATCAACAGAGGGATTGAAAGAATGTCAGGAAAGTTTAGTGTTTTCTAAAGTGTCAATATTACTCTTATTCGACTGAACTCACACTTTGTTTGGCATTTATAGCAGGTGAGACAGATTTCATCTTTTTGACTAAACATCTAAAGACCTACCGTCCTGCAGATTTCAGCTCTAACTCCAATCAAACACACCTGAAACAGGTAATCAAGTTATTTAGGCTTACTTGAAAATGTACAGATACACTGATCAGAGCCGATCGCTGGCAATGTTTTGCTTAGGGCCCCCAAAAGGATCGGCTCTGATCAGTGTACCTGTAATTTTCAAGTGCGTTTGATTGGAGTTGGAGCTGAACTCTGCAGGACAGTAGCTCTTAAAAACAATGCATAAAAAACAATATTCATAAAAAACAATTTTAACCATTAAACATTTTAGCCTATAATAGCCTACTATACATAAATTGATTAAAGTAATCAAATGTAAAAATAAAGCACTGCATAGATTTCACCATATAAATTAAACATAAATTGATTCATAATAAAGTTATACAATATTCAGTGAAGAGCAGTGAATAATTCTCTCATTTTCTTTTGTTGTTTGATTAACAGATGATGACAGACAGCAGCAGGTTTATACAGTAGGATGCGGTCACAGAATGCTGACTAGCATTCGATTACTTTTCACAGTTTATTTTCACTAAAGACATAACTGACCGTGCTTAGTGAAAACTCACCAAGACGGACATTTTTTCATATACAAAGTGCAAAGTAGCCTATATTTGTCTGTGTTTCAGTCTCAATTTGCACACACGGAAAGCGCTTGGGGAACAGTGTCTCTTGCAGTGTAAATTTAACTCGTTTTTTTTGTATTGAGCAAGAACAGCAGGAGACTGTATATGACTGAATTTGACTGATTTGAAAGTTACATAGAAAGGGCGACAGCACACCGCATTAAGGAAAGGAACATTCATGTTTTCATAATCACTGGCCAAAATAAAAAAACAAAACTGGTGTTTTGGGTACCCTACGCAACATGCGTACTTTGCATATAGGTAGGATTGCCTCTGACACTGCTGTTCTCTTTATTTGAACAATTCATTTTGATTCAATAACATTGTATCAGGTTTCTTGTTCAAACATGACTGCATCATGTTAAATTGACTTGAAATGGTTCCTTTTTGGCTTAAATCAATGTTTTTATTTTAAAAGAACATGTTTCAATCAAGTAGCTCAAAATCAGTTTTACACTTCCCATCATTTGCACAGGGCTGGATATGGGGAGGCAAAATGCTGAAATAAAGTGCTTTTATGCATTATGCATTTTTAGCAAGATGAGAAAATAGGGAGACTTGTGAAAAGTCTATTATGTTCTATTATGTTGGTATTTTAAAACACTTTCTGTTCTGTTGTTCTGTTTCTGTGCGAGTTACCATTGTGGTGAAGTGTGAAGTGTGTGCTTGGGTTGAGGACCTGCTAAATAGAATTCAACTCCAATGGGAGTTCTAGACTGCCACTTCATCTTTAGACTGCCTAAATCTAACATGCGTGTAAATAAGTTGTATTTAACTTGCTAGTATGTCATCATAACATTTTGACTGAACTAAAATTAGACAATTCCAAATAACTTGGTTCAGTCGTGTCCAAATAACTGATTCAATCATGTGGAACCACTGTCCATGATTGAATCATTTTCAACCAAAGAGTTATTTTTTTGAGTGTAAGTGTGTTGGAGCAAGTTTGGAACTGAAGCCTGCAGGATGTTTGCCCACTTTTCCCAATGGTACGTTAAAAAAAAATTAACTTCTGTATATAACTTAATTTTTTATATACTTTATAAATTTTATAACTTAAAACTTTTTTGTATTGGCTTTTATTTCTGATGTTATTTCACTCTTAATTTCCCATCAGCTCCTTCTGGACTAGGACACCCGAACCTTTGTCACAAACATATCCAAGGCTAATCTCATCATTCTTGTTCGTAAAAAGAGAGAAATACCTGAAATGGTAGGTGCCATCTCGCTGCCCAAAGCCACTGCCAGGAACCAAACAGATGCCTGTTTCTTCCAGAAGCTTCATACAGTAAAACATATCCGGAACTTGTCCCTTCTCCTAAAATTGGAGTGGATGGAAGATTTTGGTTAGAGTTTTATGATGCTGTTCAAGTCAACCAAGTGAAATATAATATATGACAGCTGTGTAAATGTGTTCCTATTGTTCGTAATGACATTATTCGCTGCAGACGTCACACATGTCTAGAGACATGCTCGTAAACTAACTACAAATTCAAGATCAAATCATTAGGTGACAGAGAAAGTGTGTATCAAGTGTAGTAGTAAAATCAATCCTGCAATTCTTACTTTGTGATTCAAAGACAGCCTTTTTGGTTCAAGGGCATGTTATATTCTCGATTCCTAAACTATTCATCATTATTCTGAAATTATTCACTTATATGTACAGAACAACATAATCTTCTAGAGCAAATAAAGGCCAAAATCAAAATTCTGCTGCTTTAATAACTAACAAATACAAAGGCCTATAATCAGAGAATATTAACAATATCTTATAAAATATTTGAGACAATATTTGAGAAAAAGAAACACCCACTGCTTTTGGCTGTAAACTATTATTCGGCCATTTCTAGGTTCATAAAGGATCTGTGACAGCTCTTAAACTTTGCGTGCACTGAAGAACTAGTAGGAGTGAAGGATTTCCACTTTAATTTTAGGGGTAGTCAATTGTTAGGGCTAGGGTTGCACATGTCCCAGTAAATTATGGTAACTCAGTGGAATATACCCTATGAATCCCAATCAAGTCACTTCAAAGGGCAGTTAAGGTGCAGTCACATTAGCACATTTAGCACAATAGCAAATGTCTGTTGCCAATAGTGTAGCAATGTATTAAGCACAGCTCACACAGAAATCACTTTCAAACCAAGCAGCTGTCTGTTAGAAATCTGATCAGTAAAAATGCATGAAGTAGCAAGTGAACAATTGTTAGGTTTTACTGATCACAAGTTCATCCTACCTTGGCCTCCAGGATGGCTTTCGGTGGGAGGTGGATACGTGGGAAAGTGTACATTGCCCCCTGCACTGGGTTACATTTTATTCCTGGGACCTGATTCAAGATTTCTTGCGTCATGCTGGCCTTCTCTGCCAGTGTGGCCAAAGTGTCTGTGCGTTCCTGAAGACAATGGAGAAAAGGTTTGATTACTTTCTTGTTGGCTAGAGAAATTTGTCAACCTGTCTAAAATTTTAAAGTATGATGTACTTTTTTTTTTTTTCTTTTCCTTGGGGCCGGCGGGAGGTGATGAAACAAGTATAGACTTAAAAATATTGAGTAAATGTTATAGTTGTGAAACCTCTTGGTCTGTCCTTGACACAGAATAACAAAATAACACTCAATTTCAACATTTACTCTCCCTGTACAATCAGCATCAAAGCATGCTGGGAAAAAGAAATGTTCCCTCTCTTTGCACAAGATTGTTAATTGTTTCTAACTTAATTTTTTAAAGTTGTTGTTAAAGATGCAAGAATATTAATATGGAGTGATAACTGTAGTTCAACACTCAACAAAAATATCGAGTATATCTTAAAAATATAATTTCTTGGTCAAATACTAATTTATTTTAGTGAAAAAATATATCTAAATTTTAGACTAAATTAACTGTTGGATTTGTAAGCATTTATTTTGGTATGTTCGAATAAAAAAAGAACTTAAGTGATATTCAGAGATATTATTATAGCTATTTATTAATATGTTATTTACAAATCCCCTGGGTTATTTTTTAGAGTGTACAAAGGAAACAGTCAATGGGACAATATAGACCTTAATGAATGTGTCATATGAGGGTTCATCTGGTTGGGGTGGATTGACCACAACATCTAGAAGAGCCTGCCCAGGCACTGGAGGACACAGCCGCACAGATACCAGCTTAGTGAGTTGAACTTTCACCTCAGGGTCTAGATTTACCACCTCCATATAACCACCACGAAAACCACACCTTAAAGAAGCAAGACAGACAGGTTTAGAGCTTAACTATTTACTTGATTTATTTTAGAACACTACTATTTTGTCAAAACAAATAATTTCTTTCACAGTATTTGTATACTGTTGCTTTTCCCACATCATCTCATAACCTTCATTTCAAACCATGGAGGAACAATATAGGACATTTTCTTTAAATCGACAACAAATGTGTTTGTAACTGGCGAAATCAGTATGTGATGATTGTGCTCAAACGTGCTTGCGTGAAATGCAAGTTCAAACCTCACTGGTTCTGGAGCTTAAAGCAAGTGTGTTTGATGTTGTGTTTACCATATTCGATGCGCTCTCTGTATGTGTGTTGATCAATGTTTATATGTGAATAAAAGCCAAAATTCATGTTTTCATCATATAAAGCAATCATGTCTTTTCAGAGGTCTTGAAACTTTTGAATTGCCAAACTTTAATGTAATGGGCTTTCAGTGGAGGGACAGAAATCTCTCAGGTTTGATTAAAAAATATCTTAAATTGTGTTTCCAAGAAAGAGACAAGGTGAGTAAATGATGTTAGAATTTGGATTTTTAGGTGAACTAAACCTTTAAAAACAAGAAGTTGTTAGGAAGAAATTCTATAATATTCCCTATGGAATAATTCTCCCAAATCACCTAAAGGTCAACTGCTCTTCTCTTGTTTTGGATACTCACTCTCCCATGTAGCACTTTGACGTTGAGTGAAACGAAGCTAGTTCCACTTTCTCAGAGTATTCCAGACCCATTTCAAACAGCACCTTCTTAAAGGAGTGAAATTTACACCCGTCCGCGTAAACATTGTCCTGATAGACCTGGATAAAACAGGGCGTGTTGAAAATATTATTAATGTGTGTTTTTATGTATTTATTTAGAAAAAAAATGTATAAGCCTATCATACAAATCACCTCATCAGCCATGAGGAAAAGCTTTTCTGCTGCAGCAAATCGGATCACATCCTCAATGCACTGCCGGCTTTGCACTTGACCTGTCAGGTAAAGACAAACAGTGTTGCCATATTAGTTTGATGTTTTCTAGCCCAATGATTGTTCATGATTGTTCCTGTCTTCACAACTGCAACAACAATTTCATGCAAATAAAAGTTTGGATAATTGAGAAATCCTTAATAAATACTACTACAGGGTTCTGTAGGTTTTATGAAGGTAAATTTAAGACTTTTTTAAAAAACGTCTTTTTTTACCTTTTTAAGACCAAGTAATCGAAATTTAAAGGACAATTGAAAGGAACTCAATACTGTATGTGAAAGTCTAGCAAGCAGGCAATGAGTTGTATTAACCACTAGAATACGGAAATAACCTTTACATAGATAAGAAGACATAAAATAAAAAGTCTTGTTTTCTGAGAAACAATTAAAGGGGTCATATGATGCTGCTAAAAAGAACATTATTTTGTGTATTTGGTGTAATGAAATGTGTTTATGCGGTTTAAAGTAAAAAAAAAACATTATTTTCCACATACTGTACATTTTTGTTTCTCCTCTATGCCCCGCCTTTCTGAAACGCGTCGATTTTTACAAAGCTCATCGGTCTGAAAAGCGAGGTGTGCTGTGATTGGCCAGCTATCCAGTGCATTGTGATTGGCCGAATACCTCAAGCGTGTGACGGAAATGTTACGCCCCTCACATACTGTTGATGCCGTGTCCAGGCCGGAGCGACGAGACAAAAACATTAAAACCCATTACAAACGCATTATGCAAATCTTCCCACATAGTGAGGTAGATATGTGGGGGCGTGTTAGAACGAGGCGTTTTAGGTAGGTGTGGCTGACTCTTAACTTTTATAAAGAATATCTCTTTGGATTTGAGACTTTAGTCTTTGCAACTTTACAGATCTTCTTTATGCACCAAGAGCTTGTTACACTCCAAAGAGAAAGGAAAAATTGAAATCGCATCATATGACCCCTTTAAGTGAGTTTAAGATTAAAACAACAACAATGTAAATGTGGTCAGAAAAAAATTCAAAAGAATACTAGTTTGCATACACCATTGACAGATATTTGTTCTTGCTTTAAGCATAAACTTATTTAATTTTGTTAAATTCCAAAGCAAGCAAGACTTATTCTTATTTTGCATCTCAAGTAAATGTATCTTAATTTTTATATTAAATTGTATTTATTTTTTATTTTATTTTATTTTTGCAGTGCATGCAACATTTCATGCCATAGCTTTATGTATTTAAGACTTTCTGCTCTGATTTTGGGAATCACAAACTGACCACCATAAAAAAAGCTGATAGATTTGTCATCAAACCTGTAGGGTTTCCAGGATTGATAATGCACAGTGCTCGAGGGCTGCAGTGCTTCTTTGCTTCCTGCAGGGCGTGTCGTAACTCACTGATGTCCAAACTCCAGCAGTTGTCTTCATCCAGATAATAACTGATTTGTACAGCACCCAAATCAGCCAGAGCAGCAGAGTACAGTGGATACTGAGGGATGGAAATCATCACTCCCGTACGAGACATTCCTTCTCCTGATACCAGCAATTTAAGCATGGTCTGACACATGGACAAAGACAGATCGTTAAAAGTAATTCTGATATTTCATTCTCTAACACACTGACATTTAGTGAAAATATTTAAACATAAAGAGTGTCTATAGTATCCAGGAGCTCATGAATAAAACTTTGCGTAGATTTTATCCTAATATGTAAAAAAAAAAAAAGCTTTTCCACACACACACAAGTTTTCATGAAGCCATTTATACCGGCCACCCAGGTGCCCCCTCACCTCTGATTATATGTTTTAAAGTTACGTTATTAATTTAGCTGACAGATATTCAGATTTAAATTATAGGTTTGGAAGGAACTAGTGCAGACAACAACACAAAAATAGTCATAATGCAATAACATGTTCAGTATTAGGATTGTTTTTTCTTTATAAAGTTTGTTTTATAAAGGTAATTTGGAAAATATGTTTTAATATATTTGTATGAAATATAGTTGATATAGTTGAATATTGGGTATTTAAGTCATTTTAAGGTAAAACAACAACAACAACAACACACTGTCATAACTTTGAATTTACCGAAAATAAGTTATGTGCAAACAAACAAATTACAATAAGGTGGTTGTTTAGCAACGTTATCTTTTTATTATTATTATTTATTTATTTTTGGGACACATTTCTCAATACTTTATCACTTTATCACTACAATACAATACCACTTTTCCAAAACTCTTCACACACTGAGCACAACAGCAGTCTATAGGCTAAATTGTGGACTATTAATCATTGCTTTGGCACAAAATGCATTCAATGATAACATCTTTCAGTTTACATTAATTATTTTCTCACAGACACAAACACCACCAAAACTGTACTTCATAGGCCAATTTGCTTACTCTTTTCAAAGCTTTTAAACTTAAGTTCAGACCATACCACAATTAAAAAATTAGTAATTTGCAAATTTGCAACATTCCATACTGAAATATATTCTGAATTAAAAAAAAAAATCAAATAATGTCAAAGCGATTAGATTGAACACCTACACAGGTGTTAGACTTTTTTTTTTAGCATCTATAAAAGGGGAAAGAATAATTTTGTACTGTGATGTAAACATGGATCATGTAACATACTGCAGTGAATTCTGAACAGAGATCTGTCATTCTTTTGTAAAGAAATTTTAACTGTTGTTAATGCTTTTTTAGGTCTGTGTTTTGAGTGACAAAATGTGTTTGTTATGTGAAATCGTTTGCTAGTGTTATGGAAGAATGACTTGATTTGAATGTATGAAGTGTTTTGGTAGTTTTAGTGCATTCTGATTGTGAAATTAACTGCTGTGCCAAGTTGAAAGTTGGTGAGAAGAGCTATGTGATGAGTTTTGAAAAAAACAAAAAAAGACCCAAGTATTGAGAAGTGTGTCCTTAGTTGTAAAAAAAACTGTAATTATCTTGCAAGGCCCCAGCCGTTTAGACATTTTTTATGTGATGATGGCCATACAACAATTAGGGTTATCCATGGTTCCAAAATTTGTTGTTGTGTGGGATGGCCTGCATGACTGTGCGAGTTCTCCGCCTTAAATTTTGTCCCAGTCCGGCCCTGGGTATATGTCACGATCACCCACTGAAGTGCCCATGAGCTCCACGGGAATAGTAAGAAGATATTTGAATTATTTATTAATAAATTAGTGTTTTCTTAGTCCGTGTCGCAAAGATGAAGATGTCGATCCTGACTCGCCATCCCCTCATTGGACGCGACTTTAGAGATAAATGCATTTTTACGGATTTTTTATAAAATCAGTAAAAATAGTTTTTGTTTTTGATTTGAATTATTTAGTTTTAAAGTAGTAATTTAAATCTTTCTATATATATATTTAGCAAGTCTGTGAGGCAAGTATTCGCTGAGTTTCGGTTCATCATTGTGAAGCGCTCCTGCACGAAATTACAGAAAGCGCATCCTGTATGTATCCTTTATTTTATAACAGCACAACGTTTTGTTGATATTGTGAGTGCACACAAATAAAACTAGACCCTTTATAGTTCCGAGTGATGCATTATTCTTACCTTTATGAGCAAAAATTACGGCATATTTTATGTTGTTTCCAATGCAAATGATCGCGCCGGCACCTTCATGTTCTGTAAAGTGCGCTTTAGCTCTCCACACAAACGAATAGATATGCGTCTAATAGCGCACATTTATATAGGTGAGGCCCGTGCAGGGCTCTACCAGGACTCCATTTCCCACAATCCTTTGCCCGGACTTTGCTGGTGTTTGACCCTGCCTGTTCTGACTACACTCTTTGGAATAAAGCCTGCACGTGGATCCTCACTTTGATGTCACGCCTCCCTTCGTTACAGAATCACCAGTCATACCCAGATCCAGCAGCTTTTGAACATTCCAGGCCTATCATGGACCCAGTGGACCAGCTGCTTCACCTTTGGCAAAAGGACATGTCTACTGAGGAGTATGTTCATCTTTTTTGTGAGATTTCGTACCGTGTGCCGATTTATGATCAGGTTTTGTTTAAGGACTTGTTCCATTTTGAACACAGTGAGCCAACAAAGTCATTGTTACCCAGAGGGAGTCATTGTTTCACTGTGGGAGAAGCAGAACCTTTTCACAAGATGGCTACCAACCCAGAAACGTTTTGCAAAATGGCTGCCAGCCCAGAGACTTTCTACAACATGGCCGCCATTCCAGAGTCTCGTCCCGTCATGGCCGCCGTTCCAGAGCCTCTTTCCGTCACAGCTCCACTCCCGAGCCACCCAGATGCTCCCAAGTGTCACGCAGTTTCAACGCTCTCAAGCCTGCCAGCCGCTACTCACTCCAGTTCTCCTGGCACAGCACCTTCAGTCTCTGTGATAGACGATGTATTCTTTATCCTACCAGTTATGGCTACGGCCATTCTGTGTATTGAACTGTTTTATATCTATAGATTTTATTTTAGGCAAGTCGTGATGATTTGAGAAGGCTAAACTGATCAAACATATGATCAACTCACTGTCTGCCGCCGGTCGCTTGGTCGTTACTTACATTTGACGAACAAAAAAATACTCCAAAAGTTTTTCTAAATTAACTTAATAAAAAAATGAAATGAAATACCAACCCAGAAACGTTTTGCAAAATGGCTGCCAGCCCAGAGACTTTCTACAACATGGCCGCCATTCCAGAGTCTCGTCCCGTCATGGCCGCCGTTCCAGAGCCTCTTTCCGTCACAGCTCCACTCCCGAGCCACCCAGATGCTCCCAAGTGTCACGCAGTTTCAACGCTCTCAAGCCTGCCAGCCGCTACTCACTCCAGTTCTCCTGGCACAGCACCTTCAGTCTCTGTGATAGACGATGTATTCTTTATCCTACCAGTTATGGCTACGGCCATTCTGTGTATTTGGGCCACACACACCACCGTAGTTTCCTCAGAGGTTGCAGCTCCCACTGCAGAACCTCCCGACGTGGTGGTGCCCACTCTAGTCCCCGAATCTTTTTCCGAGTCCACTCTAGTCCCAGAGCCTGCTCCAGTCCTTGAGTCCACTCCAGTTCCCTCGTCACGGCCAGGAGTGCCGTTTCCTGTTCCAATCACTCTTCCCGTGGTGGTGGCATCTGCTGCAGAACCTCCCGAAACGGCGGCGTCTGCTCCAGCTCCTCCTGAGGTGGCAACTAGCACTGCAGGACCTTCCGAAGCAGCGACGTTCACTTCAGCTCCTCCCGAGGTGGCGGCTTCTGCTGCAAAACCTCCAGAGATGGCGACGTCCGCCTTTGAACTCTCTGCCGGTCCAGCCGCGGCCAAAGAGGCCGCCTGTGAACCCTCTGATTGTCCTATCATGGCCAATGAGACCATCTCAGAACTCTCAGCCTGTCCTGTCTCGGCCAGGGAGGCCGTCTTTGAGCTCTTCGCCTGTCCATCCATGGACAAGGAGGCCGTTTATGAACCCTTTGCCTGTCCTGTTACGGCTAAGAAGGCCGTTTCTGATCTCTCAGTCTGTCCTGTTTCGACCAAGGAGGTCTATTCTTAACTCCGTGACTGTCCTGTCCTGGCCAGGAAGGCCGGTCACAAACTCTGTTTGTCTTGTAATGTCCAAGGAGGTTGTTTCAGAGCTCTATGACTGTTCAGTCATGGCTATGGAGGCCGTCTGTGAACTCACTGACTGTCCTGTCACGGCTATGGAGGCCATCTGTGAACTCTCTGCCTTTCCTGTTCTGGCCAGGTCATGTTACAGTCAAGGAGACCGTCTATGAACTCTCAGTCTGTCCTATCAATATCAAGGAGGTCATCTTTGAACTCTCTGTCTGTCCTGTCACGTTCAACGAGACCATCTATGAACTCTCAGTCTGTCCTGCCACGACCAGGGAGATCATCTTTGAACTCTCTGCCTGTCCTGTCACCAGAGCATGTGAGCGAAGCGGAGCGGTGTGACGCTCCGCTACGTTTTCCGCTCTATGGACGTGCGCTCCACTCAGTCGCTCTAACCGCCCAAGCAAGCGCTCCGTTAATATTCCGCTCACGCTCGCCGTAAACCAATTCCCGCTCAGATCCCGCTCCGTTCTGTAAAGAACAAATTTGCGTGCATTATATTAGATTATAAATTACTGCTGCCTATATCTAGCCTACATTCTGTCGGAGCGGAATCTACAGAAAGGCGCTCTGCGCTCTTAAGGAAATATTACCACTCCGCTCACATGCTCTGCCTGTCACGGTCAAAAGAGCTACCCCTGAACTCTCTGCTCGCCCTGTTACGACCAAAGATGCTGTTTCTGAACTGTCCACCCGTCTTGTTACGGCCACAGAGGCAGCTGTTAACCTCTCAGTGCCTTTTGTTTCAGTCATGACATACCCGCCGTGGTGTTCTTCCGTCCTGCTCTGGTGGTCTTCTGCTTTGCCCTGGTGGTTCTCTGATCCGCCCGCTCCGCTCTGGTGCTCTTCAGCTCTGCCTGCTCCGTCCTGGTGGTCTTCAAAGCCGTCAGCCCCATCTGCTCTGCCATGGTGGTCTTCTGCTCAGCTCTGGTGATCTTCAGCTCCGCCTGCTCCATCCTGGTAGTCTTCAAAGCCGTCAGCTCAGTCTGGTGGTCCCCTGATCTGCCTGCTCTGCCCTGGTGCTCTTCGGCTCTGCCCTGGCACCCTGCTCTGTCGGCTCCGCCCTGGCACCCTGCTCTGCCAGCTCCGCCTTGGCTCACTGCTCTGCCTTGGCTTCCTGCTCCGCCGGCTTTACCTCAGTCCCCTGTTCCTCCCCTTCCTTATGGACCTAGTCCTCCATCCCTCCCCCTGTTCCACCTCTGCTCCACCTCCCTCCTGGACTCTGGTCTGTTAAGGAGCATCTGGAAGCCGCTCCTTAGAGGGGGGGTGGGGGGTGGGGGGGGGTGCTCTGTCACGATCACCCACTGGAGTGCCCATGAGCTCCACCAGAGGGCACTCCATCCCTGACTTTTATCATTCACCCAGGACTCCATTTCTCACAATCCTTTGCCTGGACTCATCACTCTCATTACCAGTTCACAGCTGCCTCTTATTAGTAGGACTATAAGAATAGCACAGACACACTCTCTTTTCACTGGTGATTGAATATTGTTTAGCTCTTCCGTGTTTTTCTTAGTTTCCGTGTTTCTAGTTTCCCTGTTTCCTCACCTACGTGTTTTGATCCCTGGACTGTCTCCTTGTTTATTATTGTTTGCTGCCTGCCCTGACCTTCGCCTGACTTGTGGATTACTCTTTTGTCTTTGCCCTGGATGTGTTTGTTTACTGGTGTTTGACCCTGCCAGTTCTGACTACACTCTCTGGAATAAAGCCTGCACGTGGATCCCCACTTTGTTGTCATGACTCCCTTTGTTACAGTATATTGTCATGCAAACATAAAAACAGTATTTGCTGTTTTCTAACAGTATATATCTGTGCTTTTATGGTTTGCTCCTATGCCTATGCTGTATTTTTACTGTCCATTTTAGGCATTGAAAAGTGTGTACTCCATTTCCCACAGACACATAACATAAAATAAAAATAAACTTGCCAGAAAAATGCACACACCTGACATGACCTTGTGTACACTGTTTTAGTAGTTTGAGTAATGTTGCGACACCAGTGGGCAAGTAAAGAAATGAAAATACTGACTTAAAGTGCTCTTCACATAAAATCTGAGTGAATTTTGAGGAGCGAGTCTGAGGAGTGAATTTTGAAGGAATATGGTGTTCTGGTTCAAACCGAATACATTTCTTAAGGGGATGAAGGCAAAAAAATACTAAGTTCCACAAATAAATGTAGCCGCATGTTCTGTGTCTGTCGTTGCGCAGTATCAACTTTTATCCATGCATGCATAAAAATAGGAAAGCTGTTGTTTCTATTATATATTTCAACTGGTTAGAGTCTTAGGGATGCACCTAAATTTTAGTCAAAAATCTGAACAGAAATGGTTACTTAAATTTGATAACAGAAACATTGACATGGATAAAGATACATTATCCAGGAATAATCTGATTTAATGTAAATGCTGTAGATATTGATAATAATATCCATCTGGAGAGCTTGCATTTACAGTTGATGAGTGATGAGAAAATAATATCATATCATAACCCCCAAAACAATAAATAAATACATGCAATAAATACACAGTAAATTTACAACTCTACACACAGGAAAAACATACAAATACACATGGTTTTGCTCACAATACAATCCACAAAAATCATGCAGTATGTGTTATTTATTGCACAAAACATGCTGATCTATTTGTACTGGTATTCTTCCTCAAGAATGTCTGTTTAGGAGTCTCGACACACAGAGGCTTTGAAATACACTGGGGCTAGAGGTGGGCGGTATGACCAAAATTCTGTTTCACGGTATGACTAATTTTATTTCATGGTAACGATATATTTTACGATATAGTTATTTATATATGTAGTTATTCTGAAAATTGACAAAAGGGCTTTATATTATAAATAAACTCAAATACTATAGAAATGAAAAGTACTTTACCTATTTTTCTTTTACTTTTATTTGGTAAATTATTTATTTAGTAAAAGCACACTCAACTTTTAGATTAACTGCCCCCAACTGACTAATATTAAATGCAACTTGTAGGTGCAATTAAACTTTAAATATAGTGTTTCTGAATTAATTTTAAATTATTTTTTAAATTACTTCCTTAATAAGTAGGATACTATTAATACCAGAGTGAAGAGTTCAATAGTGACCAGAAGGAGAGCAGCAGTATGCAAACTGAACATCAACTACTGTTAGTGCTGACTAAGCAGTTTAAATTATACACACCTTATAACCACGTCATTATTTGACTCCAGCAGGGTGAAGACTGAAACGTGCTCAGCCTTTCATATTCGCCTCTCACTGCGTGTGCGCGCGCGCACCTTCTGCATTATTAAAATGTGATCAGTTAATTTGAGCGTCAAATTGAGACGAATCACAGGAGGTGATCAGTGTGATCAGTGTTTGATCGTTTGGAGTTAGAAAAATATAATACGCGCGGTTGCATTCTCAATATTTAGAAATTTTTCCTCAGATTATGTACATTCGCTTTAACAAGCAGGTTGTTCATTGCTCCCTCTCTGTTGTGAGCCTGTGCGCTCCTCTAAACTGAGGGTGCTGCACTGCTCTCGCGGTTGACTGCTGCACCTTTGTTCCAACATGTTCTAAACAACCCTTTAGAAAACTGAATCCTTTGTGGAACCTCCTAATCTGTTCATTCATCTTTCTCCATGTTTCTTTGACAAATGGCAGCGTCTCAGTCTGATGCGCGCTGCATGCGAGTTAACCACGCCTACTTATTTACATGTCGCGGTATACACAGAATGAAAAAATCTGTTACGGCTGACATTTTATACCGCGGTAACGATATATAATGTCATACCGCCCAGCCCTGGCAATGTTTAGCATTGCTGCCAGCAAATGCTGGAAATCATAAGTTCACACTGGGTTTTGATTCTGGAAAATTGCAAGAGAGCCTTATGTGTGACCACAAACCTTAGTCGGAATGCCCGAAAATTTGACAGCACTATTTACTTTATCTACAGGTCATTACATCTAGAATTTTGAAGTAAAATAAAGTAGCGCAATAAAATTACGTTTCTTTTAAATAGTGGGAAATTGTGCATGTCAATTACCTGTTTCTGTGCCATGTCTCTCTAGACAGCAATATTACCACATTATTGCTGTGTACTATAATGCAGCTTTTTAACAGCAAAACTATTTTACTGATAAAAGTTTTCAGTGTCCTTGAGCGAGGGTGTCACAATTCGCTCTGGTAAAAATTTATCTCAACTCACTGATTAAACCAACCCATCTGAACCTCATAATCAAAGTTTTCAGAATTGAAAACTATACAGGTTGGAGTATTGGAGCAGGGTTGGACCTAAGACTGTGAAGATGAGACTCTGGTCTAGAGTGTGTGATGCGCATATCTATTTTGTATAAATCAATTCACATGAACACTTTTAAAAAAAATGTATGTTACATTTTGGTCTGTTTGTCATATCTGCTTACCACGATCGCATCACTGGCTCCTGTGGATAAGTAAATGTTGTCAGGGTCACATGTGATTCCTCCATCTCGCTGTTCAATGTACCGTGCAATGTCTTGACGAATCATTTCAATTCCCTGACTAGTACTGTAAGCACCTGAAATATCCAGAAAGCCAAAAAATTAATTCATTTGAAAAATGTTTGTGTAATAAATGCCATGTATATATAACAGATAGTTTGAATATCCTCTGAAGAAAGCAATATCTTTGTCATAGTATCCTTTCAATGGTTAAGGGGATTTCTCATGACAACGAAAAACAAAAATAGATATGAAAAAGGTACAACGGAAGTCAATGCATACTGTCAACTGTTTGGTAACCAACATTCTACAAAATATCTTCTTTATTGTTCAGCAGAAGAAAAGAAAAAGCAAGGTCCAAACAAGGTTTGGAACAACTTGAGGGTGAGTAAATGGTGACAATGGTGATGGACTATCCCTTTAAAGTAAAAAATAATGTCCTTGTTTACAACCTTGTTTCAGCCTTTCAATATAAAAGTCTTACTGACTCTAACTCTACTATAAAGACTCTTTTCACCATCTAATGGTATAACAATGTAACCTCCACTGAAGTCATAATCACCATCGCTAACACATAGACCGTTTCTCAATAGTAAATAATATTATTAAATACTATTACTATTTATATAAAATATTATTTATTGAACAATAATATTTAATAAACAATAATAGCCATTATAAAAGGAAATAAACACAAGCAAATAATTCAGTCAAAAGTACAAATGCAGTGCTCTGATACAGCATTAAAGTTATATAAAACGAATGGCCGCTGAGGCCCTAGAGCTCACATCTCCGAATCTTTATAAATAAACAGCATCTCAGGAATGAAAATGAGGCTATGAGGGTTAGAAGTACTGTGTTCAATGTCACTGTACTGTTGTTTAACATACCCATTGTTCATCTGGTGAAATGTCTTTAAAAAAAAACTTTCATTAGACCAAAAAAAACCTCCATAAAACAGTTTTAAAAGTAGTGAGTTGCTGAAAATTGCATTATCTAGGACCTTTATAGAGTGCGTGCCATTGTAAATACTGTAATGGCGCTTTTCCACTGCATGGTACGGCTCGGCACGGCACGGTATGGTACGGTACGGCACGGCTCGGCTCAGTTTGCGTTTCCACTGCAGTTTAGTACCGCTTTAGAGTGGGCGGGATTATAGACATGTCGTTAAAGGGTTAGTTCACCCAAAAATGAAAATTAGCTTGTGTTTTACTCACTCTCGAGGCATCCTAGGTGTATATGACTTTCTTCTTTCAGACAAATCCAGTCGGAGTTATATTAAAAATTGTTCTGGCTATTCCAAGCTCTATCATTGCAGTCAGCGGGTGATGCAGTTGAACAGTCCACAAGTCGTCAAATATTCGCTTTAACAAGCTTCCACATATGACAGATACCGGAAGTGAGAGAAAAGTGTTTATTACGTTTGAAATATGGATATTTTTCTTACAAAAACACATGGATTCACTACAAGAGGCCTTTATTCACCCCCCCCGGAGCCGTGTGAGGCACGTTTTATTTGACGCCTTGTGGACTGTTCAACTGCAACACCCGCTGACTGCAATGATAGAGCTTGGAATAGCCAGGACAAT